AGTCGAAGCAGTAATGCACGTATTAGCGCCATTTTATGAATCTAATTATTAATTAATATAACATTATCAAATAAATCACAACAGCTAAAAGGAACATCTCTTACTTTCTCTCAATTAAAACAACCTGTCCAGTTTCGTAGAAGTCAGTCCTTCTCATATGTTGCTGCAGCTTAATCATAAAAGGTGTAAGTAAATTTGCTATTTAAACAAGAATGCACACAATGCTCAGCTCCTATGCGATGTTCCGTCTGAAATTTATAATGCCGAAGTTGAACATGCAAACTCTACGAAATATCTTGGGACCGTTCCATCTAAAGTTTTGTCTTGCTCCGAACATGTGAAACTGATTAGTGATAAAATACAGTAGAGCATGTAATACAGCGTAATACAACGGAGGCAAACTGTGGTTCGAAAATCCACTCAGCATCTTTTTCACCAAATCGTAAAGTGTTTCATTTACAATCAAGCCTCCACGGTCTACCTTTCTGGACATCTGAAGAAGAAACTTCATGCTGTGCGCCGAGATCTGAGGTTCATAACATTTAATGGATGTTTCCATTTTGAAGTTCTTGTCAAAGAATTTGAAAAACACACTTTACAAGCTTGTCAACGGTTGGACACCTTCATTCTCTCTAATAACAACTATTGGCTTTATCCAGCTCAATCGTTTTGCATATCTCTATATCCTGATGCAAGATCAGAAATAGCGAATATCCGCAGCTGAAAGGAATTGAGACGAAATTCAGTCATTATTATTTTTCCTCACATCATGAATGACCGATCATTACTTGTTAATAGACGTCGTACACAAATAATCACATTGCCTACTTCTTAATGTGTTTTTATGCGCTTCATTGTGTTTGTTGTTCTTTCGTGCAGAAAGCTGTTCCGCATATCGAAGCAATAAAATGCATTCATTAAATTCATTCATTCAAAAATATGTGCAGACAATCATAACCTTAAAATGTAAAAGCAAAATTTGTACAAGTTTGCGCAAGGCACTTCCCTAGTTTACAGTTACCGCATGGTAAAATTATTTTCGAGTAATACCATAATTTTCAAAAGAAGTCAACGACGTTAATTATGCATTACAAAGAATTTGGTGGACTAAACATGAC